TAATGATGATCATGTCATTTTCGTTTATGATCCATTTCATCACGATTCTTCTGTTAAGCTTGGAGAGTAATTATACATTCTTATCGTTCAAAGTACAGTCCAATAGTGTTATAAAAACCTCGGAGAATTCCAGTAAGATATCTTTAATCATTTCGGAGATACAACGTTTCAAGGCTTAATCTAACAATTGGACGATTTTGCTGTTACGCAATTTGGACACTTTTGCCGTTATACACAGTATATTGCAGCTGTATTCCCTCTGTCAGTCAGTCAATTAAGTGTCATCACGTGATACACGCTTGGACGATCATGTCTCTTTTGATGCATGACTGACGAAGCAGAAGATTTTCCTGCACTACTTTTACTCTTTGTTTCTATGTTGTTGTGATTTGGCTCGGAATGCGAAGTCAGAGATCCGAGTTCGAACTCCAATCGAGTTGCTTACTTTCATTGATGCGGAAATACTCTTGGGAAATGTGTAAACCTATATCTTCTTCTACGCCCCTCCAACTAAGGGTTGATTAGCAGGATAGATTGGATCCTATAGCCTTGGTTGGCAACCAGTCTACCGCATAAAGAAACGGCCGCCTACTGCGGGAAACTCTTCTGCCTTGTCAGGCATGAATCGATTGACCAAGCGTGTATCACGTATGACATATAACTAACTGCCTGACCTTAATAGTTGTATTAATTCCTGACCACTCACAATTCCTTAAAGCTTTCTCGTTGCTTATATAATCTTTCAATTTTGCCTCCTGAATTGGCAAATGTAGTTTCTACAGAAGGATGATGAGGCTACCCTGGGCCGGACATGTGAGCAACGACGAGGTTTTGGGGAGAATGGAAACAAAAAGGAAACGTATGCTTGACATCAGGAAGAGTAACTTGAAATTTACGGAGCGCGTAATGAGGAAAGAGGGCTTAGAAAATCTGATACTCACAGGACAGAAGGGCAGAGAAAAACAACGCGTGGCATACTTGATGGGCTTGAGCAAATGGATGGCAAAACAGGGTTGATAAGAAATAACAAATAGACAAAACTTATTAAGAGCTTCAAAGGACAGGAGGATGTGGAGGACCATGATCGCCTACAATATGAAGAGACACGGAACCTAAATAATAATAATAATAATAAAGAAGAAGAAGAAGAAGAAGAAGAAGAAGAAGGAAACTTTAATTATTCATTTCGATTATAATTTATTTCGTGAAGACAAATATTCATCTCTTCAGATCGAACTATCTTTATCGAGACAATACATCGGACGGATATATTAAATTGATAGGAGTAGAGAAAGCAAGAAAGAACAGATAAGACAGACGTGGTGGTTATGGAAAAGAAAAGTTTAATGAAGTAACGGCTGGGATGGGGAGTTGTAAGCTTAAACCGGCAGTCCCAGCCAAGAATTTTTCCCTTAAAGTTTGGGACTTTTTATATCGGGTTATACAGCAAATTGACCGATATCACCAGTTGTTGTAGGCAGGACAAACCAACTCAATTACAAATTAGCCAGTCAAATGAAAGAGTCCTTAACGCAAATAATAAGTAGAGATTACAATAATATTATCTACTAGCAGCATGGCCCGGCGTTGCCCGGGCTTGATTCAAAAATCGTACGACTCGTACAGCAATTGCTATCACTTGACTTAAAATATTTTTGCCCTTCTTTGCCTTTAAAGGAGTGCCCTTTGCCGTGCTGATGTTGCTACATGCCTTACTTCTTGCCTATCTCACACTGCGAATTTGTCTAAGCTCTATACTAAACATTAAATCTGTTACGAAAAAAGAACTAAACAAAATGAACACAAAACAATCAGCTTTAAAAAAGGACTCGTAACTGGAAAAACCGAATGAAAAAAAAATAATGTTAACAACAAATACTTTTTCACACCCAACCCAGTTCTGCGGAATCAGAATCAACGTTGAGTTTAAGCAAGCGAATGAGCCAATTGGAGTAAAGTGCCATGCAGATTTAAATTTTTCACACTTGTGACGAATGCAGCTATCGATTTTTTTTTGCATGCTAGCATGCTAGTTAACATTCGTGTCAGTCAGCTGTTGGCTCTCACGCTGGCCAATAGAATCTTCCTGCCTATTCGTGGCAGCCAGCTATAGGCTCTCACTCTGGCCAGTAGAAAATGGCCGCAAACTACATGAAAACTGCCATAGAAGCAGGAAAAAATCGATTATTTCCACTATCGATGGGAGTTGGGAAATGCAAAGTCGGTCGTGGCTTTTCCACTAACTTGGGGGATGTGCATATAAAGTTTGGTGCAAATCCGTAGAAAATTGCGGCCGTGCATTCGTTGCACACACACACACACACTCACATCCTGCCTTTTATAGATAGAGATATATTCATTTCTTCAGACCTAAATTTCTTAGTCGATGGAGACAATAGATGGGACAGATATATTAGATTGATAGGGGAAAGGGAAATCAAGAGAGATGGTATGAGAGAAGAAGGGGTTGGAGGGAGGTTGAGGAAAAGAATGGGTAAAGTAAGTAACGAATGGGTAGTAGTAAGCCTTAACAGATTGACCCAGGCAAGAATTTCTTTAAAGTTTGTAACTTTGTACATTGGATTAGACAGCAAATTGGCCGATATTGCTCGCTGTTTTAAGCATGACCAAACAACACAATTCCAAAGTAGTTAGTTCAATGAAAGAGCTCTTAATACAAGTAATAAGTATAAATTACAATAATAATAATAATAATAGTAATCGTATCAGACAGGAATGGATTTTATATACAGATAAATAAAATAAATAAATTTAGAAAATTAAGAGTAAAAATAAATATAAAAAATGGTGTATGGATGATGATACAAAAGATTTTCGTTTAGAAATTATATGTATGTATATGTGTAGGTGCATTTATATCTAATAGTATTATTACTATTATTATTATTGTAATTTTCGCATTTATTATATAGAAGAAGATATTTAAAAGGTGTGTCGATTTACTTGAAAAAGGGTGATACACACAGACATTGTCGCATTTATTATATATATATATATATATATATATATATATATATATATAAAGTGAAGATTGAAGTCAACACTTAGAGGCAACAGGATGTTTCCTGCTAGACGCAATCGTTAGGCCACATTGCGTCTAGCATGAAACAGCCTGTCGCCTCTCAGTGTTGACTTCAATGTTCACTTTTATATTTACACACACTCTATCTCTGATATTGAGCACTTTATCCCATAAATATAGCACACCTTAAGAGTATATTTCTTTACACACACACACACACACACACACACACACACACACACATATATATATATATATATATATATATATATATATATATATATATATATATATATATAAAGAGAGAGAGAGAGATAAAATATTTTAGTATCATCGTGATTTCACACCTGATGAAACCTTAAAAAATTTTAACGTTGAAATAAAATGTACAGTTTTGTCGTGGGTATATGCATGTTCTAATGTCACACACTGCATAATAAATATATATATATATATATATATATAATTGGTTATTTAAAAAAAAAATTATAACATAAAGATGTTATAAATTCACTACAAAATAGCCATTTTGTTTCAACACCCCCACCCGGTGTCTTATCAAGTGATGATGTTGAATGTAAAATAAATGGTTTTAAAAGTTTCAAATATTTATGTTATAATTTTTTTTTTAAATAAATAATTATATCTGCTCTACTTTGTATTGAGCACTCTTTTAAGAATAGTAATTGTTGGTTATTGGAATTCATTCCGTATACACCAATCATATACTTAGTATATATATATATATATATATATATATATATATATATAAGTAAATTCCCAAGAGAATAGAATCCAGATAGAGCTCAATGTCCAGGACAGAGCAAGAATATAATATAAAAAGCTCAAACACTAATATTCCATGGTTATAATTTATTACATTGGAATCGTAATCACAATCCAATTCATCAGAGCTCGATTTCTTTTTGAATTTGTAGGTCTGATGAATTGGATTGTGATTACGATTCCAATGTAATAAATTATAACCATGGAATATTAGTGTTTAAGGCTTTTATATTTTATATATATATATATATATATATATATATATATATATATATATATATATATCCTTTTCTTACGTCTATAAGAATGGTCGATTTTAAATGTCTTAAAGAACTTTTTAACATAAAAAAATAACATTTTTGCTTCATCTAGCCATTTGCCCATTTTTGACGACTTTTCAATGTTGAATTTTTCGCAAATAATTTTCACATTTTCTTGCCAATTTCGGTGCTAATTTCGTTTGAAATCTATAAAGTCTTTCCCTTATAACATTTTTTTTTCAGGAGAATAGGTTTCTGAACTCTTGGAACTGTTCTTTGATATTTCTAATATTGGCGGATATTTCTTTACTAACCTTTTGTTCTTCGCGATGCCATTATTTTCTGGTCGAGTAACATGTGCTTTTATTTGTTGCTGTTGTTGAATTAGTCATTAAAAACATATTTTGCAGTAGAATCAGAAATCGCTTTAAGTTTCCCGTGTTTAAACACCATCTTATATATAAAAATATAAATAAAAGACATAAAAGAAAATTATAAAGCATTCAAACTGGGGGGCTACAGATTACCCTGGCACTAGATCGTCGACACTCAAATTTTCTAAAAGCGGAAACTGCATCGATCTCTCATCCGATGTCTCTGGTTTGAGAACGGTTCCCAGGAGAACAAAGGTTAAAGGTCATACCGAGATCTCTTGCCAGGAAAGTCAGCAACGCTGTTCGTGGATTCATAAATAAATTCAGGTGAGGTTATCTTCATTAGGAATCGAAGACCCGTAGCAAAATGATCTCATTCACTCACTTTCTGTGCGTGATGCCGTCTGCTTGACGAATGGCGTCACAGGTAATAAGGAGCAGGCCGGAATATCTATGATCAAGGGAAGAAAATAGAAAGGTCATTTCAGATGAAAAGAGATAGGCAAGTGGACATAGTCGAACAGAGTGAGAGGTAGATTAACAATAGATAGATAGATAGATAGATAGATAGATAGATAGATAGATAGATAGATTTGAACTGAATGAGAGAGAGAGATTAACAGATAGACAGATAGATAGAAAGAAACAGACTGAGATAGATAGATAGATAGATAGATAGATAGATAGATAGATAGATAGATAGATAGATAGGAACATATTGAGACACATAGATAGATAGGTTTGAACTGAATGAAAGAGAGATTAACTGATAGAAACAGACTGAGATAGATAGATAGATAGATAGATAGATAGATAGATAGATAGATTTGAACTGAGTGAGAGAGAGAGAGAGAGAGATTAACAGAGAGACAGATAGATAGAAAGAAACAGACAGACAGACAGATAGATAGAAAGATAGATAGATAGATAGATAGATAGATAGATAGGAACATATTGAGACACATAGATAGATAGATAGATAGATAGATAGATAGATAGTCCGAATAGTGTAAATAGTTACAATATCTCATCTCACAACCGTAGAAAGAGATTGAGATTCGTTGTCGAGTTCGGCTGCCAATCTGGCTCTATTAAACCTATTACCGTTATGATTTGTGTAAAGACTTGAGCCATCAGCATAGATAGCAAGTCAAGAAGTGATAGCGTCGGAAAAGACTTTGATAAATATCAGGAACAAATACCTCTAAGGATAGAGTCATGGGAGACATTCGCGTTAATGTAAAAAAAAAATCTAGATGAGTGGACATTCAAGACAACTTTCATTTCGCCATTTGATAAGAAAGATTGAATCAAATAAAAAAAAACCGTCCTGAAAATAAGACCCTTCAAATTTTAAAGCAGACCAACATTTCAAATCATTTCAAAGGACTTCGAAATATTTCGTACAACAACTCGACCTTCGCCATAGTTATCGAAAGCTTTCAGAAATGACGAATTGGAGTTTATAAGCAGTAAATTCGACCTTGTCTACCGATTGGTTCTTTGTAGCTCAAGCGGTAAAGGCACGTCAGCGTATATGACGGTTCATAGGATGCAGGTTCGAATCCTGTCAAAGAACGAAAATTTTCTATGAAAATTTCTCGGACATTCAGGCCGGTAAATGTTATTTAATACTGTTTATCATAAACAGAGCATTTGCTTAAATACTTGTATCTATAAAATAACAACGTTAAACATAAAAATATGTCTTTAATAAATATATATATATATATATATATATATATATATGTGTGAAGAAAAATATACTGAAAAAACAAACAAAAATCCTAATATGCGATTATGCTGTTTTAATGTTTAATGTCAACGTCGGACGTTTCGGTCTAATAGACCATCTTCAGGACATATTCATAAAACATAATTAACATAGATCATATACAATCAACATGAAAAAGACGATGGACATAAAAGCAATACCAATCCAAACAGATAACTGAAATCTTTTATAAGATCAGCGTTCCGTTTAAATATGATCACGTCGTCGTCACGTGGGCAACGTTGTGAAAACGTATTCCTAAAATTTGAGTATTTTGAATGAAAAACGAAATTTAAACGAAAATATTCGGTCCGGTAAATGTAATTAATACTGTTTGATTAAAAACAAAAGAGCATTTACTTAAATAAAATGTATCTATTAAAATAACGAATAAACAGAATATATATATATATATATATATATATATATATATATGGTGTTTGCCAACCCGTGTTCGAGTACGGCCATTTTCTGAAAAAACTCTACTGATGTGCTGAACGAATGTGACTCTTTAGCCCAGCAAGGAGCCTACATGCTCGAGCACAAACAGGGCACTTAAGAGGTCCAACAACGGGTGGTACATTATCGTGCAATTTAAAATGAAACCGCTTCTGGACCCGCATATCTTACCACAGATATAACACTTCAGTTGCTGGACGTCTACGGCTTTATAGTCAATTGCCAAATCGCTGGTGCGCTCTCAAGTGACTCCTTAGACCAGCCATCGACAAATACACTCTACCGCAAACTGTACTCGTTAGATCGAACTGCCTGCGGGTGTCTTCAGGAAGGTCAACGGGGGCAGCTTTTACGCACATCTCTTTTAAGCTTTGCGTGCCTCCTCTTCTCATCCTCAAAGTGACGCCTTCCACTACTAGCAGCCTCATTCCAGGCATTGCAATCGGATACACATCCTTCCCAATGCTCACAAGGAATGTTGCATTTCCTCAGCGCATCCTTGATGCAGTTCTTAAAGCGCATCCTAGGTTTGACGGCATTTCTCTTCCCTGTTCGCAGCTCAACAGCGGCTGTCATCCATTCCGACCAGGCGACCTGCCCACCGAAGTCGATGTTTTAGTATCAAGGACTCGAGACTATCACAATCGCCCCACTCTCGCACGTTTACATCCCTAACAGACATTTTCCAGGTAATGTGAAAGATACGCCGTAAGCAGTATTGGTGGAATCTCTCAAGCCTTTTCATTTTTCTGCAGTAGACCACCCACGTCTCGCAAGTGTAGAGTGCTTTAAGCACACATCCTTGATAGTCCTTTAGCGTTGTACTATATATATATATATATATATATATATATATATATATATATATAAATATATATCACATCTATCCAACCAAATATTTTAGCTCTATCTCTGATATTTAGCGCTTTCTAATAAGTACCGCGCATATAATATATAAATAATTATACATATATATATTTATTTATATTTATATACACTTTTCACACACACACACACACACACACACACACACATATATATATATATATATATATATATATATATATTGTGTGTATTTCGGCAGCATTTTTTCATTGATGCATGTTTCATTAAATAATATAGACAAGTTTTGTCTATTTATTTTATGTAAATTCTTTTCATATCGTCTGATAAGCTTAATAACATTATCATTAAACGAAGAAAGAAAACCACAATATTGATACATATTTCTTTTAATCCTATCTAAGCTTTCGGCTGACATAAGCCACCATCAAAGATGGCAATTACATTACAATATATTAACCAATACACGGACAAGACAGGGATGATAGTATGTTTCTGTTGACATAGAAGATTTCCAAGCAACGACAAACTCGTGTATACGAGACGCGCAAGCGAAAATCGCGTCGCAGCTCGTGACGTCACACTTGACCACGCGAGAGTGAAAAACGAGAAGTATTAAGTATGGGAAGCCGTTGGTATAAACCAATGGCTTCTGTTACCAATTATAGATATTTAAGAATATTTGTGGAGATTTCATAGTTTATTTTGTTCATGTTAGGTTTCAACTGTTTTATGTATATAGCTTCAAGAATTTTTAGTTTTTGTTTATGGTTTTCATGTTTAACACTTGTCTATATTATTTAATGAAACATGCATCAATGAATATATATATATATATATTCAGACCGTTACGATCTTAACATTTCTTTCAACAACTGCAAAGATTGAAAGATACAAATAGTGTTTTCTAAAGATCTCTCATCAGAACGTTGGGTCTAGGCTTAACCTACATTGCTAATAATCTAGGGTACTCCAGCTATACCTCACGATTTTATTAAATACCATATCTTTGTAATTTTGTTTTGCTTTCATTACTTTATTCCCTCCTCTCCCAATTAAGCAACATTGAACCTGGTCAGTACCTAAATGGGTGACCGCTTGGGAATACCAGGTGCTGTAATTTTGGATGTCAGAATGAGAAATCGGGGAGGCGAATTCCAGAAAGCGTATGAATCAACCTGTTCTCCCCCAGCTATGGGTACAGGTCAAATGATTACATTCCATACTTAGTCACCTCTCAGCCAGTGTGAGTGTGTTAACCGCCCTGTTTCTCCCGGTCCGAAAGATGGACCTTACATTCTCGGATGCGATATGTGAGAACATACCCAAATCCTAACTGGGGTGTGTAGGGAAAAAATGGTGATGAGTTGGGGCTCAAAAAGTGCACTATGGTGCTCGCCGGCAGGCCAGCTGTTGTTTTCTTCTTTTTCGGTCGCCTCAAGGAAATGGATTGCTTGGCTCCTTTTCTCAGCCATTACACTGGGCCGTTGTGAAACAGACACCAGCTCAGCCACACCTACTTCGACTTCCTCTTTGTCCGTCTGTCAATCCGTACGTCCTGCTCTATTGCACGCTGTCTGCCAAATGACTTCGGTTCCGTCGTGCTGCTGGCACCTCGCTTTTTATGCTATTCCAGTACGGCCAAAAATTTGCATGCGTGCAAATGTCGTCTCGTTTTGGACGCGCGCATAAATTGTGTCTTCAATAGCGGCGATATTTCTTTTTTTCGTCATTACTTTGCAGGCCAGACACGTTCGCGCTCGCTTCGAATTCTGAGGTAAGTCATCTCTTTCGTCACAGGGTGGATGTTTGCAAAACTGCCTCGCTTATGTATCTCCGTTCCACGCTTTCAAAAGCGAATACAGCGCTGAGGTTACGGGCTTCTGCATTCGGTGGCAAAGAGTGACCCCCCCCCCACCGCCATTGTCCTTGGTTTGGTGTGAAATTGAATGCAAAGCGTATTTCCTATATAGTATATTCTATAATGCTGCCTTAGCCTTTTAGGTCTGACAAATACACGCGCACAGAAAATTCAAATATAATTATTTGCACTAGTCATTTACTTCCGGACAATTGTCCTCATTGCTATTGTTTTTATCACAACGTTTCGGTCGTTGTGCTCTCCAGCCTTCCACGAGTGTATATCGATCTGGGTAACCTGCAGAGATTTCTGAACTGAACTATTTCAACTACGGGGGTACGCTGTCCTCATTCCACTGCTCATGTCTAGGGATATTGGCTGTTTTCTTACTTATACTTAGCACGGCTCAGTTATTGCACGCCTTGTTCCAATGAGTGCAACTGCACACTGCCTGACCCAGGGAGCGAACTCACAACAACTATGTCTCCAAATTTACAAGCCAACGCTTTTACCAACTAGTCCGAATATAAATAATTCGAAAAAGAAACTCAATCAAAAAGTCAAATTTAAGTTTTTTTTTTTTAAATAAATGTATACGTTTTTTTTAATTCTTTGATTTTCATCAAACCCAGATTTTGCGACGTGACAGTTTTAATTGCAAATAATTACGCGAAGAATATTGGTGCTAGACTTGTAGCAATGGTTAAAGAGCCTATCTCACAAATCATCATTATTATTATTATACTGCGTTTGCTGCTCTAGTATTATGTCCTTATGCCTGACTAGGTTCAAATAAGAAAATATACAGGCTGCTTTTCATTGGACAATGTTAGCAAACCAGGCTCACTGGTCATCAGGTAGATTAGAGTTATTCAATATAAATTTTGTCTGTGTACTCTAAAATTAAAGCCCTGTGCCAGACACACTAAATAGTACTTCTTCTGGTTTAGCCGCATCGCTAGAAGATGCTGGAATCTAAAAGTTGAACTAATGACATAACTATACGGTATTTATCGATCTATTGGTCCGCCTGAAAGTAGATGAGGCCGTTGTTCGGTCATGACATGTCTTTTTCACTCGATTTTTGAGATCCCTTCATCGAATTCGATTTTAGCGAAGGAAAATGCAGCGTTTATAAAGGTTCTCTAACAACAAATACGATATAAGATGTGTCCTTTTGTTTTCTATCTCTTCTTGAATCTCCAGTAATCTCGCACAGTACGTCTGTCTTTCTTACATTCTTTGTCTCTCCAATAAACTCTCTCTGTGCTTCTTTCTTTCTTTCTTTCTTTTTTCTTTCTTTCTTTCTTTCTTTCTTTCTTTCTTTGTCTCGCCAATAAACTCTTTCTTTCTTTCTTTCTTTGTCTCGCCAATAAACTCTTTCTTTCTTTCTTTCTTTCTTTCTTTTTCTTTCTTTCTTTCTTTCTTTCTTTCTTTGTCTCTCCAATAAACTCTTTCTTTCTTTCTTTCTTTCTTTCTTTCTTTGTCTCGTCAATAAACTCTTTCTTTCTTTCTTTGTCTCGCCAATAAACGCTTTCTTTCTTTCTTTCTTTCTTTCTTTCTTTCTTTCTTTCTTTCTTTCTTTCTTTGTCTCGCCAATAAACTCTTTCTTTCTTTCTTTGTCTCGCCAATAAACGCTTTCTTTCTTTCTTTCTTTCTTTCTTTCTTTCTTTCTTTCTTTCTTTCTTTCTTTCTTTCTTTCTTTGTCTCGCCAATAAAGTCTCTCTTTCTGTTTCTCCCTTGCTTTTTTTATCTCCTTGTCTCTACAAAAAACTCTTTCTTTTCCTCTTTGTTTCTGTTTTTGCTTTCCTTTTCTCTCCAACAAAGTCCCTCTCTGATTCTGTCATGCTTTCTTTCTTTCTTTCTTTCTTTCTTTTTCTCCTTCTATCACCAATAAAAGCAAACACACACACACTCTCTCTCTTTCTCTGTGTTTCTGTCTTCCTTTCTTTCTTTCATTCCTTGTCGCTCCAATAAACTCTCTTTCTCGCTGTTTCGATCTATCTTTCTTTCTTTCTTTCTTTCTTTTTTTCTTTCTTTCTTTCCTTGTCTCTCCAATAAACTCTTTCTCTCTCTTTTTATTCACTCTTGATTGCTTTGCTTCTTGTCTCTCTAATATATATATATATATATATATATATATATATATATATATATATATATATATGTGTGTGTGTGTGTGTGTGTTGATTTCATTCTCAGTTTGTCACTCCAGTAATCTCTCTCTCTCTGTTTTGCCTTCATTCTCTTTGTCCCTCCAATAATTAATCTCTCTCGCTCTGTCTGTTTTGCCTTCTTTCTCTCCTTGTCTTTCTAATAATCTATCTCCCTTTCTTTCTCTCCCTCTCTCCCTCTCTCTCTCTCTCTCTCTTTCTGTCTTTCATTTTTCGCTTCTCCCCTCCAATAATCTCAGTCTTTCTCTTTCTCTGCCTTGCCTTCATTCTATCTTTGTCTCTTCCGTCTTTCTGTGCTTTCATTCTTTCCTTGTCTTTCCAGTAATAGCAGTCTCTCTCTCATTTTCGCCTTTCTCTCTAGTCCCCCCCTCTCTCTAGCCCCGCCTCTCTCTCTTTCTCTATCTCTTTTCGGTCTCCCTTTGTCGCTCCCTGTTTCTCTGTTCTCATCTGATCGTTTTCTTCTTTTTTCCTTACGTTTCTAAACCCAGAGCCTGTCTCTTGATGGGCATTTCCTACGCTTAATTCACATCTTCACGATTTTTGACGAGCCCCTGTCATAGGTAATAACAGATGAAACAGCTATTTACTCTGAGTACTCGCTAGACGTATAAAGTACTCATGGGGGAAGGGTTTTCTTTCGTGAGCAAAGAATATACAGAAAAAATCAACATAAAGATCATAATATTCCATCTAGACTGACCGCATGTTTCATTGTTGGCCAAGCAAAAAATCGTCTCATCATATTAAAAAAAATATTACATTTTCGTACTTTCATATAATCAAGTTTTAGTATAATTCTCTTATTGATGAAAAATGCCCATTCCCTGGAGCACTGTAAATGTGTTACAGCTCAGACCAGACACCAGGTTCGTTGTCAGGGTGCAGTTTTTTTTTTCCCTTCAAACGCTTGTGGCTTAAAAATTACCCTTCGGCCATATTTTTACCCACGAGGAAGAACAAAACAATTTCTAGTAGTAAACCAGATTTAATTCTTAGGTGGTTACTATTATAAGCGAGCGAAGGCGGTTGAGGCGTAAGTGATGGGGAGTGGTGGTCCGTAGTTCAGCTGACGTCGTCTATGTTCTTCTGTTTGACCCACTTCGTTCCTTCTGTTTTCCTTTGTACGGAATGGCCAATTTTGTAGATAACAGTTTTCTTTGTCCTGTCATCTTCGTCTAAAAAATTAATTAATCTTCCTTCCATCGCTTTTTCTCAATCCGAGCGTCTTGTACTTTGAAATTAACTACAATTACTGATAGCCGTTGGTCGAAAGTAAATGTTCCGCATCGAGTTATTTTAAATTGAACTCATATTGATACAGAGTCCACTTCAAGAGGTTCTATACAGATAAAAATAAAAATTAAAAAAATATAATTTCACCCCAATTTATTGATTGATTCATTTTCTACAGCTTATCAACCTCTTGACGGTTATTTAAAGCCAGAAAAGATGTTTCTTTTTTAGATAATTACGTTTTAGTGATACATGTCTTAATCATTAACCTGTACCTGGGAGAAAGTGGTGGATTCATATCTGATTAGAAAATAGGTTCATGAACGCAACAGACTAGGTCAGAATTTGACCTCGTTTCGTCGACACCATTACTTAAACCGAACGAAATGGTCATCGCCCTGGGTATGACGATAAACTACATCCGGCAGCAAGGCTTCTGATCAGGAGATTGGAGGTTTTGAGGAGCATGTAACCACCTCTTAATTTCTGTTCCTCCCAGGTTTACCCTGACTCAGGGTGATAACACTTGTTAGGTGTCACAGCTATGGGCAAAGAGATAACTCTCAAACTGTGGTCAAAACACTATTAAAGTATATATATATATATATATATATATATATATATATATATATATATATATATATTATATTTATAGTAAAAAATACCAGCAATACATTTTTGAAAAAAAAGATACCCGCAATGCATTTGACTCTCGACGATAAACCCTCTTTATAAAAATACGTCAAGGAAACCTAATCTACAAACTGATTTCTTCCAAAGAAAACATCTTCTAGTCATATAAACCTATTCTAAAAATCTTGTCACCATTAAATAATCCATTGTGGTGTCGATAACCCGTAAACCAAAATAAACCCAAATTTTCATCTACAAACTGATTTCTTACAAAGAATGCATATCCTATTCAGACGAATCTATCCTAAGAATCTTGACGACATTAAATAACCCATTGAGGTTGATATGCCGTAAAACAAAATAAACAAATCCAAAATACGACAATGAAACCTGATCTACAAACTAGTTTCTTACAAAGAATATATATTCTTTTCATACGAACCTATCCTAAAAATCTTGCTGGCATTAAATAACTCATTGAGGTTGATATGCTATAAAACAAAATAAACCAAATCCAAAATACGTCAATGTAACCTCATCTATAAATTGTTTTCTTACAAAGAATACATATTCTATTCATACGAACCTATCCTAAAAATCTTGTTGTCATTAAATAACACATTGAAGTTCATATGCCTTAAAGCAAAATAAACCAAATCCAAAATACATCAATGAAACGTGATCGAGTAACTGATTTCTTACAAAGAATACATATTCTATTCATACGATCCTATCCTAAAAATCTTGGCATTAAATAACCCATTTAGGTGTTGATATGCCGTAAAACAAAATAAACCAAACCAAACCGAAATGTTTACTTCACATCCATAGAGTTAAACTGCAAAACGACTACAAGAGCTGAACTTCCGTCTAACAATTGTAATCCGGGGGAGATGTGGTTGATTCAGCTCCGTGTGCATAGCCTGGCAAGTACAAGCAATAAAGATCTGAGCAGGTGGGGGGGGGACCCAAGAGTGGAGTTCATCTGAATATTTGTCATGGAAATAGAAGTATCGTAGCAATAGGCATGCAGCCGCCCTTTGAGTGTCAAATAAATCATACCCTCCAAGACCATGTAAAGGTTGTTCAACACTGTCAAAGCTACAAAGTACGATTTAAGCAGCTCCAACCCGGGTATGACAGGAATACTCCATTTTTGGTCTAAGGATACATATACTTCCTGAAGAGCTAGAACGAGACGCCAATTGTTCCATCATCTTGAGCAATGGATCATATATATGAGATCCACTTTAGATGTGGAATGAGCCTTGAACCCGCAAGAGACGGGTCAAAATATTAGGATCTCGTTGATAGTGCAATCGTTTATTGTGACGGGAGAAGTCCCTAATGAGAAAGTTTATTAGTGCAGCGTTTCGCAAACCACTTTTGTCACGTTCGATCTTCCACAGTCTCTTCTCCATAAACATTACAATTTTTCTGAAACTTAAAGTAAAGATGCGCGTGTGACGAGGAAAGCGCAACAAAATCAACTTGCAACTCTCACTCGATGTAGGTGATGCTATCGAATCGGAATGCGAAGTCGGCGAGCCGAGTTCGTATTCCAGTCGGAGTTGTTGCATTTATTTTCGTGCGAATACGCCTCGGAAAGGTATGGATCCATCTCTTCTACCACTCCCTCGCCGGCTATGTAAGGACACTTATTGGCAACTAGTCTAGGCGGAGGAACACTGAATTCAAAATCGGTTGAGCTCGGAGATAGCAATCCCATCGTGAACATATTTGTTATGGAAAACACAGCAGCAATGCCTAGCGTGTTGAGACAGGGGTTTCATACTCCACAACTGAAGTGTCTCTGATACTAATGCTCACCCAATACAAGACCCAAGAGCTACTCAATGTAGAGTGTTACTGTGAGCGTAAGTAAATAAAGGCAAGAAGCGAAATTCATGAGGCTCTGCATGAAAGATAACGGTTCACCCTAGACTGGAAGATTGAAGTGATTGGGTCAACAGTCTGTTCCATAAAGCAACTGTTCTCAGGAGGATGTTGTCCCAGACAGTTAAGCGCCATATGTGATACACGATTAGGGGTTCAGGGTTGCTAAAGAACGCAGTCACGAACCCCTTAGAAGAGATGAATGTATTCCTTTCCCAAAGGGGTATTTGTGCGCAAGTGAATCCAACAAACTCGACTTGAATTCGAACTCGGATCTCCGAGCCGATATCCATTACACCACAAAGCACATCCCTTACTGATAGAATATACACTATAGTTCAAAGGTTTAAGTGATTCCTGATAATTTTTTTTTTAAATTGGTCCCCAAAAATAATTGTTTTGTACTTTAAATAAGAGAAAATTATTACACATGGTTAAAAATGAGCCACGATTTTTTATTAGAAATTTTATTGTGACAGAAAGAGAAAAAAAGCATTTTATGATTAAATGTTGCTCTCGTCAAAATATCCTCCTTTAGCCTTGATTACTGCAGCATAATTTTTGAAAAAGTTTTTCAAAGTATAAGTTTGATAATTGATTCCATTCTTTTTTCAAATGATTCTAAAATCTATTTTTTTATTTTTTTTACTCTTTTGTCAAGTTCATCCCATGCTAATTTTGGGGATTGCTTCAAACATTTCAACTATAATCTATACTGAATATATTTTCATACTTTATTATTATATAAAAATATAGTCAAGTCATAGGACTGAATTTTCAGCTAACGAATGCCTATAATATTGTACAGTGTTTTGCGTATAATACGAGAAATTTTGAACGAAAATTAAAGAAAAAGGTGGGCGTATTATACACAAATACATGTATTCGGAAAGTTTTATTCAGCTTAACAAATCTCTTATTTGAAACATGATGATTACAAATACACACAGTTAGTACAATAAATATTAAAGTACAAGTTAAGCAGGTGTTGTTAATAATTGATTACAAACGGTATGTTGGCCATATTTGTTTCTCTTAATTTTTAAAGACAATATTTTTTTTATTTTAATAGTTTAAAGATCTATAGAAATATAATAACGTCATATCATGCATAAAGCGGGTATGTCCAGTTAGCACCTTTCCCTGAAAATTCGAA